TGTAGTCCATACGAGCTCATCGTATTGAAAACTTTGAACCGGTTTATTCTTGCTTGAAGTTGAAATTGAGCCATCGTCTTCATAAGAATGAAGACGAAGATTGTGATAAAGGGTAACAGGTTTTTCACTACCTTCGACAAATTGAAGTTTTATTGAAAGCTCAAATTCACCCCATCCAGTTTCTGTAATCTCAAAAGGTGGATTTTCGACTACTATTGTAACAGTTTTATAAAAGATCAATTCGAATCGTAATATCAAAAACCAAAAACTTAAAAAAAATAGGCATTGTTTGCTTACCCCTTTGTGGATTGGAATAAGTTTCGTGTAATTTGAAAGTAACTTTCTTAACAAAATGTCCAAGTTCTTGTCCATTGATCCCTTTTACTGATACGGTCCATCTATGCGTATGATCGGAGTCTGGAACTTTCTTTTGTGGTAGTAAAGTTGCAACATTTCCATAAACAATTGGATATACTATAGTCACTCCCTTTTTTTAAGTAAAGAAAGGTTAACAAATGTAAATATGTTTGGATGTGATCCTTTAAAGGAAATATACCTTAGTCCTTTTAGTTGACATTTCCGTAGAGTTTAAGCTTCTTTTTCAGAAATTAAAGAACCAAATCGTGGTGGTTTTTTGAACACGTGATAATCTACGGCAAATTAGCAGTTAGTAATTCTGTAATTGGGTAATTAAGCGGATATTATGCCGGATAATAATCCTAGTCTTGATCGACTATCTTCTATATACGTCATACGTGTATCCAGCAATATTTATATATTTATATCGATATAATTAAAATAAAAATTTGGGTATCAATGACATCTACTTGCGCACAAGTAGGTTTATCTTCAGAGCCTTTATGTCCTAAATCTATATTTTGGACGAACCTTATTTTGCTGGGCTTCAACCCCTCAGAGCTCGCGAAAGGTGTATATTCAACAGTCACCTTTGATAAGGATGTATTTACTAAAGGCTCCCCTAATTCTGTGAAAGCAATGGAATTGATTGTATGGTTTTTATTTAAAAAATTGGATGACGCGTTGACAACAGCGGTAACTTATATTGATATTTAGTATATCGGAACTTTATATATAAATAAGTTTATATAAAATGGGAATGTTTTTTATAGAAATTCACATGTTGGCCAATTCTTGATTTACCATCAAGTTTGCGTTTTCGGACAGTAGCGTACAAATGGTTAGATCAATTGAAAAAAGATGGTTGCCTTGGAAATACAGATATTGTTTTGAGACGCACTTTATTTGACGAGTGTCAAGGCGAAAGGTGAATATAAATGAGAATAATAGCCTTATCACTGTCAGATACAGTTCTTTAATTTGATCAATTATAATAGATTCGAACGTTTGATAATGGCCTTTTCGAATTACGTCTTAAAAGTAACAATGGACAGAGATTACCAACATTATAATCGAGGTATTTTATTTATAGTAATTTATGTAAAAAGGAATAAATGTCAACATATATTAATGTTTTTTAAAGCACCGAAAATTGAATTTACGGAACTTAAAGAATCAACGCCGGAATTATTGAAAGAAATTCTAAAGGTAATTCGCATGAATGAGATGATTAAATATTTATTTATTATCGATGTAATTTTTGATCAATTTTAAATAGATATATATAAAAACGCAAACAGACAATTTTTTGCAAAAGACTAGAGAACGTGCAACCTGCCAGAATCGATGGAAGAATTTAGCAGATAAACTTTCAAGACATTTATATGAAGTTATAGATAAAAATGTACTTTATATAAATTTATGATATTTGCAATTTATTTATATTCAATTAGGCATATTTATTTATTTATTTATTTATTTGTAGAATGAATTAAAAAAACTTGTTCATGAATTTCATAAGGGAAAGCATTTTAATGGGCGTGATAATGTAACCATAGAACAACTTTCTTTCAAGAGAATTAAACAACTTGAAGGTACCCGCCTTATTTGGAATTCATGTTTAAGTTGGATACAAGAAAACCAAAATTATATTGGTGATGATAACATTTTTGCTTTTTTTTCGACGAATTTCAATAAAACAACAACATTTATAAACTAGTTTTTACTGTGTAGCAAGCATTGAAGATGTTATCAATGATCGAACAAATAAGTATCGAATTAATGGACAGGATATTTCATTACAAGTTCCAGAAATTATGATGAATATGTGGGAAAGACAAATCCAAGAAGTATATTTACTTTTCACGCCTAATTTGTTATATCAGTGATTAAAAATATATCACTAATTTTTTTTGGTTGTACTCTAAGGCAAGAATTAGTCCTCGACAATACGGCAAATTAGATTTAATATCTTTATTGAAATTATGGAGGTTCGCACTTCAAACTTTGAATGATAAAAATACCAATCCGAAAACTATACAGCATCAAGATTTAGAAAGTGAAGATCTTTCGTCTACAGTTAAAAAACTAGAGGAACATTTGGTAGAACAAAAGAGACAAATTAAAAGTCTTTCTATGCTCAAGAATTCATTAAGAATGCGCCTAAATGAAATCAATGAATCAGTAAAATTATTAAAAAAATGATTAAAGAAATAACAGGAATTTTAGATCTAGAATTCATGTGGCATAGTGTAATTTTTAAAATTGTCTATGTTATGTTTATTTTTAACTGATGATTGAATTTAGAATACTGTTGTCACAAAAAGTGTGGTATAGACAATAAAGTGTAAGCATGCGTTGTAATCGGGAACGGAATTTAAATGGATTGGAATTCTTTAATTAAAATTTACGACTTATCTGTTATCGTAAACAGTAGTAGAAATTCTAAATTTGACAAATCAAACTTTCGTTCCCACTTACTCATACGTATGTACGCACGTACGTACGTGCGTGAAAATTAACGAATTGGACAATTATGCAGGTATCTTTGCAATTGCCATCATTTATATTTGAACTTGCATCATATTCGAAGTGGCATAGATTTTTAATATTAAGTTGCATCAGATCATAATTTATATGCACATAGCAGATAACGAATATAATAGTAAAAACAAACAATATTGTTCTACTGTATATCTAATGAATTATTTATGATTCTTTTGCTTTCTTTGAATTGTTTTGTATTGGATTAAACAGTTGATTTCATTTACAGTATTTTCTTCAACATTCTGCCGGCAGCCATTTAGCCGACATCACGTCAGGTTAAAACTTACTAAAAATATGTATCAGGTATATGCAACTAATCAAATGCTATGTGATGTCGGCTAAATGATCTGTCGGTTAAATAATCGAAGTAGCACCGATTTATTTTACAGCAAACTTTTAATGACTCTGTAAACACACCGAAAGTAAAAAAAGACATTGATCGATTACCAAAAATTAATACCGATAAAGTCTTTTATATCCTACGAATACTATTCAATCTATTCGATCAAAAATTAGATACAGATATGACATATTATGTGAATCGAAACTATTAGGTAAAGCGAATACTTATGAAACATTGTGTAAGTATAAAAATAATTGCGGATATTTATGATAATTCAACTATGATATTTTGAGTTGTAGAGTATTTGTTCAATGATATCTATTAATAGTGTTTCGATCCTATTCTTGACAGGCAATCCGGATTCTATTAAATCCGGATTGAATCCGTATTAGATTACATA